CCAGCACAGACCGCTCCGCTCGTTATAAAGCACATCACACAAAAACTTAAGCAAAATGAGGCAGCCTGTTTTGGCAAGGAGTCACTGCACGCTCCAGCCAGCAGGAGAAGAACTGCTTAGGAAGAAAAGGAGTAAGCTCCACTCATTTCAGGAGAGGTTTGAATAGTTTATTTTGCCCAATCAGAGCCCTTCAGCATAATGACACATTCATATACACATATATGAACATTTTTTCTGAAACATTAATGTATAATACATTTTAAATTTAAAATACCAGCTGCACAGGTATTTTTATTTACAAAAATATTCCATACTTAATTTTTTAACTTTGTTATGATGACAGTTCAGTTCAAGTACATGTAAGTAAAATAACTCTATGCAATCTAACATAGTTGTGTTTGTAACAGTACAGTTTGCAGTTCATATGAAACTATATTTGTAGACAGATGGATTTGCAACCCTACTTAAAATGCATATTCCGGTAATCACCCTCAGAAGAGCTAGCGGGGCTCCGCAAGACTTAACTGAAAAGTAAGTTGCAATGAACAAAAAGAAAAAACCACACATGTACACACTAAGATATACATAAACGAGAACTGCTACACATCAAGCATGCTTACCCACAAGTGGGCAACGTTAGAAAAATTTACTGTTTCCCCCCCCTCCATGGTGCTGGTACAATGAAACAGTAGCATAACTAGAAAGCAGCATGTTTTCCTAGTTCTAACCACTACAGATAGCAGAGCTCAGGTCTAAAATAACACAATACTGCTTATTTACAATTCTGCTTTAAAAGGGAATATTTAAAACATGTTCCCACCCCTCTCCCTTTGCATCGCCTATTGCTGAATGGTCGTGGTAATCCACATACAACTCCTTACATGTTTTCAACTGAAACAGTTTAACTTCTAGTTATTATTTGCCTGGTAATATGTAACTTAGGTACTAACAAAAACAAATGCAAGTGTCAAAGAAACCTACAGCTGTATGACAAACATTTCTAGGCGCTTTACATGAAAAACTAAAAGGAATACTGATTGACACCTTTCATTTGAAAGGTTTCTGTCTCATTTTTTTTTTTTTTAAATGAATGCCCACATCTTTAAGCCTAAATTTATAAAAGTGTAAAAGAACCCAGAAACACAGTACACTCATCCAGCTTGAGACAGTCATAAAGTAGAAGACATCCAGCACATCTTTAAAAGATGTGTAAGAAGGAGAAATTGGCCCAGCTTAACTTAGCTTTTCAATGAAAACTGAAATAAAATCGGTTTAGCTGATTCGCCTACACTACACATCTTTTTTGTTTTACTTACTTCCTCCCCTCAAACATCATTAATTTCTGTCTACAAAGTATTTTAAGATTTTGTGGTAGTAGCAAAGCGATCAACATCCACCCAAAGAGATTCACAGAAATTATACAGGAAATTGGCTAGAATGAGGAACAGGTTCAACCAACAAGTCACCCTGCAACTTGGAGAGGGAGGCAAGGTGCCGCACACCTTCCCCCCGCCCCGAACTTCAGCTGCTGTCGATGCCCAGCCGGGTGTGTTAAACCACGATGAGAAAGAAAAGGGCACTTCAGCCACAGGCTGGAAGTTTTCCAACACTTGTTTGGTATACAACAAAACCACCCTGATTTACATGTAAAGAGCTGATGTATAATCAAGATTCCATACATTACTCAAAGAAAATATTTACTGGACAAACCTCGCTTTGATTTTGGGGGATTTTAGAAGTCTGAGGAATAGAGCTGAAAAATGTCTTTCATGTGTATACCTAAACATTGAAATAATAGAAAACTAGTCAGCCACAGACTGCAGCTATTGAGAAAACTTTTACATTCAGTTAGTTTTCTGAATGCACCGTCTTCCCTCTCCATACTTAGGGAATTGTTTAAGAATGTTCAAAAATGGGAAGTAAAATTAAGTATGATTATTTTCTGCAAAGCAAAATGGGCTATTTGTTTTCATTGCTTAGTAAATGTATCATCTCGATATGAGATATGAATGTATTCATAAGCTTAAAACAACTTCTTCTATGGATAATATACATACTTTAAGTACTTTGACTTAAAAATTGAACGTAAGTCTTTTTAAAATTAAAGGTAGAAGTGTACATATAAAAATTATTTAAAACTAAAAGTATATTCTTAAGCAGTATGTATAAATATAACAGATTTTATTGTATTATCTAGTAACAAATCTGAAAGTGTTGCAGCAATTTATAAACTGAATGCCGACACAGGATAAGTGCCTTTCATTAGATTCTGTATTGTATATACGGGTATATACATATTTTACGAAGAAAACACACATTCTAAATGATAGTCACGTAATTAGCAAATGTGCCCGAAAGTAATCCGTTCTAAAGTCTTTATTGAATGTGTGTGTTTATATACAAATAATGAACCTGAACTGCACAAATGTAGAAACAAAATTAAGGAATAAAATACCATGATTGAATTAAAGTGCGGGAAAAATTCAAGTTTAAAAGTTCAGGTAAGATCAGTGCCATTAATTAAGGAAAAAAAAAAGGAAAAGAGAAAAGGAAAACAAAAAGGAAAAAAGGAAATGAACTTGCTTCCAAACACCTTCCTTTGGATGTAGCTTTCCAACATCACCTGCTATGCAAGTACCACCTCAGGCAAAAAAAATCTTTGCGTGAAGTCAGACAAGGAACACAGCTATATATTACTACAGTTTATAACTGACTGTTTGCTGAAGAACAAATCACTGGAGATGCCTGTGGTGTAACACTTTCAGACTTATTTGGAATACGCGCATATTTACACATATCAACATTCAAAAGTTACAATTTGGCAGGACTAAGGTGAAGAAAGCTTCTTCAGTTTACAGTTCCTAATGAGACACACTACATATAAACAGATAGGTAGCAGCAGTTTCTTACACTTCCATCAAAAAAATAAAAAAGTAATAGCTCGATTATATTTTATAGTTTTCCAGACACTCTAAAAAAGTTTCACACAACTAAAATGCTAGCGAAAAGAACGGGGTGCTTCCCCGCAAGGATTTCAATATACTTCGCTGTACAAAAGGTGCACCACCAATAGCAGAATAAGATGCAACGATGTGTGTACGATCAGCTTCGTTCCACAGAGAAGGAAAAAGGAACGTTTTAGACTAAAATTGTACATAGCCCCTTTTATTGACCGAGAGCCATTTGTCTATTCATCTCGTGAGCATTTCATTAGTTTTCAAATCTAGAAGCATGCTCTGAACATACGCAACAAAAAAGATTCAACAGATTATTCTGCAATACCAAGTAAGCCACTACTCTTCTTGTACTGGCAGATGGTCTCTCATTGCCTCTTATTTTTTTGCTTGCTGGTGGTTGTCAAATGCTTCTTGATGGAAAAGTTAAGCACGCTTTCCTTTCAAGCCAAGGTCATCTTCTATTGAACCAATACCACGATTTGCTGAAGAGTACTTTTGCCATCCTCTCCCCCAGAGCCTGATCAAACTCATTTTGCAGGATTCTGTTGCTCTGAAATATAGTTCATCTTCACCAGGCCAAATAATAATCAGTCATCTCAATTTATAAATGTGAGATAAGGAAAGGGACAAGTGTCAGCTAGGGTGTTTTATTTTTGGCAATGGTATGGACAGTAGTTTGTCTAGGTTTTTTTCCTACTTGGATTTTTTTAATAAAATGGTGTTAGTTTAAATACGCATTAATTAGACACTAAAAAAGAAATTAACATGCAGAGGCAAAAATTGCATGGCAAGCTGAGTTAAGTAACTGGAGTTAACATTGCCTCAGTAGGTATGGGACACAGCCATCAAGAAATCATAATGCTGCTTCTTCAAATCGTCACGTTCTCATTTGTTAAGTTCTTTGAACAGTGGACATGGTATGGCATGCCCTCATACTGGCAACAGAATTCACTTGTCTTAATTAGATGTTACTATACATAAAATCAGATGATTTATCAATTTGTGCTACAAAGCCCAAACATTTTTCAAATGAAAGGCAAATATGAATTAAGAACCATCAGTAACTTCAGTATTTTGCATCTGTTAAGTGTTTTGTAAGGTTGCCTTATCTATGTACCTGCAACATCACTTTACAATACAAATATAACCAAGGTTTTGCTTTGGGAACATTCAGAAAGTATGCAAAAAACCACACAGAATGTGATGCTTGGAGAAGCAAACCCAAATGATTAACTTCAGACAATGTAGACCTATCAGCTTCTAAGTACTCCCTTTTATAAAACAAAACCAGTCAGTAACTATTCCTGCTTTGAGGAAAAAAGTCTAAAGAGATTTTTGAAATGCAAACATTTATTTTAAGGAATCCTCTCTTTTTAAAAGAGCTCAGGTCATTCCCACTGTTACAGTTTTAGTGCAGCAGCCATTAACAAGTTAGCTCAGCTATATTATTTACCTCACCCAAACCGAACATTATTTCGCCAATTCCTGAAGTTTTAGTGGACACTTACCACTGCCCACATCGAAAATACTGCTTTACAGATTAAATCCAAAGTTTAGGCCAACTGCCTTTAGTGCTGGGTGGGGCTGATATAGGTACTTGTAAAATAGCTCTACTAGCAGGATTTAGAAATTTGCTAAACGATATACTGGCAATTATTAAATATTAGATGCTTGGCATTATTCATGCATCAGCACCTCCATGGAGTGTAAAACTGTTTGAAAACCTGAGTCCAAGATTATCTGATTTCATAGTAAAGGACTAAAGGGGCATCTAGAACTTAAGTTTTGAGCAAAACTATCTCAGCTATTTTAATTAATGGCTGTAAAGATACATTCTGTTAAACATTTATAAAAATTCACAGCATGAATGGAATGCACAGCCAATTCTAAATGTTATACAAACTGAACCAATAACTATTTTTGGCAAAAAATAGTAGTTAACTGAACAGGTGTTGAAGTATTCTTACCACAATGAAGATGTTACCACAGTTCACATTGCACAGCCATAACACAAATGAAAACTCCCAGCATGACACATTCCAGTCATATTATTCACTTGACTTTAATGCAAAAGTTGTGTATTTTCTTGTTTTGCACTTCACAGAATATGATGTGAATACAAGAATACTAGATCAGGGGTCCAAGAAAAGACTATGCACAGGTCAACTATGTATACAATTTTCAACATGAAATCTTCCAAGCTTCCAGCTTTTCCGATGAAAGAAGTGACAGCAAACTTCAACTCTTCTTCAACAATAATGGTAAATACAGTGAGTCCTAGAGAGGGTAAGTGTAAGTCAGCTACTGTCCAGCAAGACAAACAACTTTATTCCAGCTCTTGGACCCCTGATTTATTGCCTCTCCTCACAGGAGGGTATAACACTGGCAGCAGTTACAATAGCACAAAAACTTTTGGCATATGAAATATTAACACAGGATTGACCCTGCATTGCCCCTGCCCATCTCACACTACGTTTTCCTTTTACTCTCTTTTCCACATGTTCTAGTTACCTTCTCTGTTCCAACTCTCAGCTAACCAACAGCTAAGAAACACTCAAGTTTGTTTTTTGTGTGTTTCTTTTAAATATAAAGCTCCTCAGTTAAAGCCACGACTGAGGTAAAACAGTGTGTGATTTGTGCTAGGAAACAACAGTATCCAATGGTGAATACTCCTTTAAATTTCAATGGTCCTGCCAAAATTAATGAAAAACCAAGATTTTTTTCATCAGGACAAAATTAAACAGATGTAATTGATGAGTGTCATCAGAATTGGTACCACTTCTTGTCTTTGTACTTCAACATCATCTAAAAAACAAAAAACAATTTTAATTACTGTTTCTATAGTGTACCAAAAAGTACAATGATACAAACAAATTACATGCTTACAAAGCAGCATGAGAAAGAAGGACTTCAGTAAGGATTCTCAAAACTGCAACAACAACATTGCTGAACAGTGAGTGTTTAGCATGATGAATTTTCTAACGATAACATCACTGCTGATGATCTAGCCTCAGACAGAAAATGACATCTTTGGGAGAATGGGAAGGTCGCATAAGAGCTTAGGGAATGGAAGAGATCTGCATGAACATGGAAGAGAACAGCCATCCTATGCAGTTACTGAGGAAAAAATTAGCTTGGATTCATGGGGTTTGCATACAACAGCTGGATCTTTCTTAAGAACCACAGGAGTCTCACACAGAGCATTACTTTTCTTATCCAATTCAGTGACAAATTCTTAAGTAATGGGAACTGAGCTGCACTTTTGGAAGTCTACATGCCACTTAGGCAGAGCGTATGCTCTAGACCAACGTGCCATAAGATAAAGCTGCTTACATTAATACTTAAGTATTAGGAGTAATGACTGATAAAGTGCAGTGTCCTTTATTAATGATATTGCATTCCCTTTAGACACATCTAACATGCTTTTGCAGAAGTCAGTTACTTGCAAAATTGGCACTTATTTCATAGAGAATCAGTGCTCTCAGTTTAACGTGCAACGGACTCACCTCATGAGCGTGTTTAGAGAAAGAATCAGCACTGTAAAGCATAGCTGCAGTTTTTTCTTCCAGTTCTCCTAGTTTCTGTCCTCTTTCATCTAGTGCCAACCGGGCTCGTGCTAGTTCACCAACGACACCAGATGCTGCTCCTTTGACACCTTCAATACCCCCAGGCCCTGGAATATGCTGGGCAAGACTTCTTGATGCCTTCCCTGATGCTGATTCTCCAACTGGGGACATTTGCAAAGCAACAAAAACAGAATAGTAAGGTTTTCTATCATTATTACATAAATACCAATGTAACTAGTTTACAAAGAGGTGTCATGTCTTCGCATGGACACTGAACACCTAGTCACAGGTATGACTACGAGCAATACTCACTACTCAATGCTACTAGATGTTACTGTTTAATAAAATTGAGATTTTTTTCAAACATATTTCAGAGTTTCCAGGCAGGTTATAAAATTACAACCTTTTCACAGCTCCAGTGTGAAATTAAAACTCTCTCAACAGTGCTGGCATCACAGTCATCAACAGAATTATACTGGTGAAGTGGTTTTTAACAATATGGCTTGCTTCACAGGGAAGGTGTTGGGAGTTCAGCAGACAAAGCAGGAGAATTTTGAACACACAGCTGTGGTCAGTTCTGGAAGTGCTTTGCTGGTGTAGGCAGCAAATATGACTCCACCAGCAGAAGTTTCCTTTGATGGAAGTTCAGTTTTAGATGCAGACACCTGAAGATTAGGTGTCTATGCTCTCATTATTGTAAAAATCTTGTAAAAAAAAAGTAATATAAATAATGAGAAGGCAGTACAGCTGTAAGAACAAATCATCTCTTCCTAAAGTAAACACCCAGGAATGGTCAGTGGAACAGCTCTCTAGACTCCAGTGACCGCACTGACTACATCTCCTTTGCTCATAATGGGACATCAGCCACCTAGTTCAGTCTAGACACTTAATGGACATGTCAATCTCATGCTGAATTGTATAGTCTACGAAAATTGAGTGAAGGCCAAAACATTTTTGCATGCTGAAGTCAAAGCAAATAATCTTTAACTTTTTTTAAACGATTAAATTATGGTTTAAATATTTTTTCCACCTCTAGGAAAAGTATTATTAACATAATTAACAAGTTTTGTTGCAGTATTTCAAGATTTTCTGATTTGATTTTATGCTTCTAGGAAGAACGATTTAGATTTCAACTAACACTATAAACATTTTTAGTCGTGGGAATTTACAGAAAGAAGAGAAAAAATTTCACTTATTACAGACTCTGCTGTGACCCTCATGTTAAATATGACAATTCAAAAGACATCTGAAAATGTCTTTAAAATCGTCATTGAACTCACTTTCAGGCTACAATTCATGAGGCTTTTCACCCCCATTCAATACTATTTTCCTCTTGAAGATCTGAGCCAAAACAGGTCTTATTAAAAGCCACAAACAAAGCCTGAGACCGAGTTATAAAAAAATTTGTAATCTCCTTAAAAATAGGTCAGAAGAGTCAGGGCAAAATGGTGGAAACTTGAAGTGAAGTAAACAGATAGCTTCTAAAGTTACAAGAGTGCTTTTCTGTTGCTATGAAGAGGTAGTTTTTCCCTGTCACAGTCATACTAATTAAACATGTAACTTGTGCACACAAATTTCTCTAATAAAATACTTGACCGACCTTTCAATGTATTACACGTATATAAATACAAATGGAATATTTTACGCAGAAAGTGACCTCAAATATTTGATATTTGTTCAAAATGTACAGGCACAAGTAGTAAAGACTAATTTAATTTTTACTGGATAGATCAAAAGAACCAATAAAAAAGAAAGGATTGCCAGGAAGCCTTGTCTGTTTCAACAGCTACGTTTCATGTTAAAAAAGGAAACTACTTCTTGCACATAAACTTGCATAATATGGTGTTTCATCTAGCAAATATCTGAATAAGTGGAAGTTATTTTCCTTAAATAGATTAAAATGTTGCATGCAACCACAGTAAAAAATAAAGCTGTGATCAAAAAGCAATGAGAAAATGATAAAGCAATAAAAACTGCCAAATCTGAATTTTACTATCCTATGAACAGAGGGCTGAATTGAACCATCATACAGTTCTGTTCTTGCTCTCATTCCTAAGGCATCTCTGCACAAGTCAAATGAGGAAAAAGAATCTAGCAAGTGAACTGAAGTAGAATGGAGTTTTAATTTTCTCACTGTCCAAAATAGCGTTCTTTAGAACCAGCCCCTTTCAGTTTAACGTCATTAAGAAAATCATGGTCAGTACTATACACTTCCTAAAGACAAATAAAAATAAGATCAGTTGTCGTATTTCTTGTTTTATAATCTACTCCTGAATAAATGAGGTGAAGAAGCCTGTGAGAAAATAGTACCAAGCTTTTCTGATCTTGTTGGTAAGGTGTACAACACAAAAGCTATGAAAAAGTAGTTGTCATTCCCTTTTTTACTTTCCTCTTTGCAAATGTAACGTTCTGTTAACACAGGTAATACATTTCTCAAGGATCACAGGCTTCCTTGGGTAGAAATACCAGAAAAATAACAACTACTTAAAACTTACAAAGTTCTTCTCTGTCAAGTGACTGTGCCCCACCTCCGAACAGGCCTTTAAAGAACCCCCTGTTCGGTGCTTCTGGTGTTTCTACAGGAGTGAAGAGCTCACCCAACATTTCCTTTGCAATGAAGAAGAGACAACAAGCCATACATTATTTCACACACAAATTAAGGGAATATTCTTTCACTTTAAGGATTTATTTTGTGGATTTGAATTTCAAAATGAATATGCTTTAATAGGCATCTGCCTTTGCAAGGTGACTTGGGAAATAAAAAGTAAAAACATATTAGGAAATCTGTCCAAACCATCTGTTCTGATAGTTGGAAGCTTATGGCTCATGAAATTCAATAGCAAAGAAATGGGTTCGAGTAAAGCTGTATTTGCCCCTCAACAACTCGGGCAACTCCCCTGATTTTGTTCTGTAAAAACTATATCTACAAATACTCATATCTGTGCATGGTATGAAAGTAAAGCTTACAGCCTGCATCTCTGCTATTTCAGTATTCTATACAGCTTCCAAGCTGAAGCATGGCTGAGAATCTTCTCAAGCTGTTAATACCCCTGAAACATAATGGCTTCCTTCAAGTATCCTGAGTTAGCATTCCCCGCTTGTGTCAGCATGCACCTCCGCCAGCATCAATTGAACAAGGGAGTTTTGTTAACTGCACATGTTAAACAAGGAAATTTCCTACTGATCAAAAGGGAAATTACATGAGAAACTGTTTCAAATACAAGAGGATGGATAAAATGGTAAAATTTAAGAGTAGGGGAAGCGATTCATCCTGAATCAGACTCTAGAGTGATAAAAATCAAAGCACAAAAGCTGAACTGTTCGGCTTTATGAGAAACTTAATTACTGTAAGCATCGTGAATCTAGAACCGTAAACCTCAGAGTATATCTATGTCAGAAAACAGTCTTTTTTTTAATTCATTACCTGAAGGTTTTCACATGTTTCTTGACTGTAGGTGAGCCTCTGTATTTCAGTTGGTGAGACAAGATAGAGTGCTTGTCCATTATTGGTGAAGCAGAATGTTCTGGCTATCCGCATATTGGTGAGTGGCAGGTAATACACATCCAACAATGGCCTTAAACTTGGCAAACTTAAGAATTAAAAAAAATTAAATGTAGCAGGATTGTCTATTATTGATCAAATGGCTCATTTTTAAACTGCAGTACACTATTTCTCTCTTGACCATCTGCAGAAGTACCGCATAAACAGGGTATCATTTAATGCAATTACAAAATCTCAAAACATAAATGAGATCTTTCAAGGTAGCACCTCAAAAGTGAAATTTAACATCTGCATCACAGATGCATTTAAAAGCATCATTTAAATGATACTCTGAGCATGTAAATCACAGATTCACTTAAAGCATTATTCAGTAATTACTAACGAAGTATTTTGTTAAGTATCTGCCAAAAGTTTACAATTAAACATCCTGCCTCTTCTCTCAGGTGAAGAATTTCTCCTTGACTAAAAATACAAGTCTAAAAGATCTCTCCTCAAGAACACTTGGAAATACACGGGGTGTGCTTTCAAAGGAAGACAGAATTCAGTAGCCTGAAACAACAATCTTACGAATTATGTCCACCTTTTTTGTCTGAATGCATATTTAAGAGGAAGTCCTCTCAGAGTAGAGTTCACTTACCTTGTGTTTTCTGATTCTGCACATGCAACTGCAGTACTTACTGCATCAAGCTATGAAGAACAGATGCAACACACTCAGGCCGTAACTTGCTACCAAACATTCCTCTCCCTCAAAGTAATAATGCAAGTAAGAAGTGACTGAACACCTGATGTCTTGATAAAGAGAACCCAAAATAAACCACTGTCTCAAAAACATCCCCTGTGAAATTTTTGTAAAAACATAATTTACACAAGATGTTAGCTGCAAATGTACCAACAATACATTAAATGGCTTCTGCTTCAGATACCATCTGCATAGGATTATTATTTCTAGAAACTAAAAAAAGCCGTAAAGGGGTAAAGTGAAGCCAAAAGCAATGAAAAAGAAAGATGTAGTAACCGCAACACTGTTGGGTGGGGTTTTTTTTTATGATACTGAGATTTCTAAATGTTAAGCTTGCATTTTACAGATTGTGGATTTTCTCTTAGCAGAAGACTTCACCTATGACAAATAAGAGGAAGGAGAACAGGTAACATGACTTTGGAGGGAAGTTCTACAGGTAAGAAATAAAATGCAATACTCTCTTGTAAGCACATCACCCAGAAGTGACACTTCTGCCATGCATGTATCTAAAATAAGAACATTCCTAAGAGTGAGTTAGTAACAGGGAAGTGCTTTGCTTTAGACCAATGGAAGCCTAAAACATCCTTACAGCTTCAAGACAAAACACAAAAACATTAGTTCAGATATGACAAGCATGACATCCACGATAGCATTTTCAGAGTATCAAACAAATCTGTAACAGAAGCCTAAGTCCTATCTAAACTTATACTGGCAGATAAGTATTGGGCATCTTGGGTACGATACAATGCTCTGACAACTTTACACAAACAGCACGTTAAGTCCACTTCCCAGCAGCAATTCATGCTTATGAAATTGAGATAATACTTGGGAGTTCAACTTCCCTACGCAACGTAACAATTCCCTATTTATAATTTAGCACCTACCTCTATGCACAGTTCTTTAGAAAACAAAATGAATCCTGAGGAAAATAGAATTTGTTTGAATATATAGTACCTGAGCATTATTAATTGGGAGAGGGGAAGAGTGCTTGCCCTGCAAGGTGAGCAGCATTTTCTAGAGATGTTTAGAATATATGTTGGGATATAGATCAATGGAGTTAACAGACTTAACAATCAAAACTTATTTCTTAATTGTAGTATGCATCGGATCAGCTTTTGTTTTATTCCTAACAACTTCCTGAAGAAGTATCTTTAGAGATATCCCAAGCTGAGAGCTTGTTTTTACAACCTTAAAAATAACCTTTTAGGAATTTTACTGGCAGAGTTTTATAATGCCATGTTCCACATTCATCTTAGCATTAGCCAGGACTAAAGTGTAGGTGCAAGGTTATAGATACATACACACTACTGTTCAGACTAAAATAGCATTTGGGAATATTCAAGAAAAATGACATGTTAAAATTACATAGGTGACATGTAAGTACATTCAAACATAACTTTTACACATGTTTAAACTCATCACTTAAACCCCTTTAGATGACTTATTTCTATACTACAACTGCTAGCAATTAATCTTGCCTTTACAGCCTAAGTTTAAGGCCTTTAACATGAGCAAGCTACACAACAAAAAAGGTAAGCTTGAGGCATGAGTGATGCAAACAGCTGCACAAAAATATGCAGAGTTGTGGTCAGGTACTAGCTGAAGGTCTGACTCAAGGCAGCTTTCTCCATCAGGGAGTAAATTCACATTTGAGAATCTTCATCAACTCAAGGACCTAACATCACATGTTAGAACTATTTGTTGAATCAGGGTAGGTTGAGCTAAACTGGTAAACTTTTTCACGTGTTAAAGGCATAACTAATAGGAATGCATAATCAAAATTATCCAGGCCCAAGTGTTAGAAGTTCATCAACATTGAGTGAATGTAGATTTTTTTAAATTCATATTCTTATGGAAAAGGAAACTTTATCTAGAAGACGACTATTTGGTCTTTTTATATCTAAATTACTTTCAAATAGCTCTTACCTAAACGTCATAATATGTCCATTGGCACAGAAACATGCAAGGCAGATACTGTTACTCAATGACACTATATCTCCACGAAGAACAAAAGAAGTCTCTGTTATGTTTTGCTTATAAATACAGTTCTGTGATGGCAGTGAGATAACTTTTGCTTGCTTTTCCGAACATATGACTGCATATTGGTTTTCACTGATTTCCTGAGAGGAAGAGGGGGACACTGAGACAGGTCGTCGCTTTTTCGATTTATCTTTTTCATCTTTATCTTCAGGAACATTGTGTTCTCTCCAAGGTTCATGTGCTGGTGGCACTAAAGACCCTGTGGTATCCAGAAAAGCCATTCTCAAGATTGCCCCTTTTAGCCTCAGGATGGTTCCTAGGAAAAAGAGGTTGAGCGCATTTCTAAAACAGTTCTCCTAAACTGTCTTTCAAGCTACAAAATATTCCTTTAAGAAGCTAGCAAAATGAAAAGAGAACAAGAACGTAGGCTTGCCTCTGTAGCAAAGCAGACATACCAGAACCTTTGGATGCTTAGCTAAAAACCAGTGAAGCGTATGAAAGAGCACATATGTATTCAAGAAAACGTTAAACCAGTTTTCAAGGGTTAAGTGTGTGCATACTCTTCCATTAACTTAAACAGAAATTCAGAGAGCCAAGCTGGAATGCACATTCGTATTCAAGTTCAGTGTCACAAATGCAACTAATTTCATTCTCTCCTGAGGAGCACACAGCGTGCTTAATATTAACAATAAATGTTATTAGCTAAAGGTGAGTACCTCCTTTTTCTTCAATACAGAAGAAACAAGCAACATGAGTTTTTTCCTGCTGCAGTTCATGCCTGAATCCACTTCTCTCTAGCATAAACTGAAAGAGGTAAAGTTTTCCCTCCCCGCTGTTTAAATCATTATCTCTGTAGGCCAGATCTTAAGCCAATACATTTCTTATTTTACTTATATTTATTCACATGCAAGTAAAAACGTGAACATTTGCTAAGTACACAAAAAATCATACACATGGCAGTATCTTTTAAGGTTCATGCTGCAGATCCAGTGATTAAACATACTGTCCAGTCTGCGGCCTTGCCTTTACAATCAAGTGTTACCAAATCTGAGTACTGCTGCCAATACCATACTTGATAAGCACAAATCAAATATGGTCTAGAGGTCACACTATTCCTAATCACTATTTCAATCAAATAGCATTGCAATTTGCATGTCCTGATACCATCTGTGTGAGCAAAGGGGAGCAGAGCAGCATGTTCTGCATGAGACAGATTTAGCTTTCCCGCTACTGCTATGCCTAACAGCACATTCAGCAAACCATTAATACATAATTACAACAAAATCAGTTGCTGTGTATCCGAAAAACAAGATACATGACCTCTCACAGCAATCCAAAGGAATATTTTATCACTAATATTTAAAGCTAGTTGTTCAATATACAACCCTTAATTTGTATTCCCTTTTCATGATGCAGGAAAACTGAAAGTTTCCTACCTCGTGACAAAAAAAAAAATACAAATTGAGCATTTGAAATACTCATCTCTTCTGCTATTTTTTTAACAATTGTCATGTACTACATTAAGGTTAGAAAACATGCATTTCTCAGAAAGTATACATCAAAGTGGTATTTTTATATTATATAAGATCATATTTTCAACTTTGCAACTTTAAAACTCCAGTAATGAAGTAACCAATCTAGACTGTCAACCTTAGTAGCTAAATCAATGAAGTATATATTAAGTTTCAATTAATCCATAATTGAGAAAAACCATTTTCTTTAAAAAAATATGAAGAACAACAACAACACTTTATCAAAGTATACTTTAGCCCATCTGCTTTGTACGTACCACTAGGAGAAACAATTACTGGCTGAAGAAGTCTTTGCTCTCCTCCCGGGGGTAAGTTCAGTACAATGACAAGCACTGTACCCAGTGTGGTCCCAACCCACAGGCATGGGGAAGGTGATGTATCAGCCTTTCTTGTGAAAGTCTCACAGAAATGAAGAGCTGAAATTGCCTCGCGTGACTCTTTATCAATGCTAGTTACACTAGAACTCCGGGATCGACTGAAAGAGTTGTCTTTGACATCTGAAAAGAAATCAGAATTAATTAAAAAGAATGACAAAATGCAAGCATTAAGAGAATTCAGACTTTCATTTTTGTTCTTTAGCATGAGGTATATACTAACTACCATTCTATTGATTATTACTCCTGTATTCTTCCTTAGTCATATTTCCTTTTGGTCCAGTTTTTAACACCGTATCCTGAACGAAGTGCCTAATCTTTTTTTGCAGAGGTTGCCATTAGGTAGTTGTCATGAACAGCAGTTATGCATATTTCTGTCTTCTTGGGACAGAGAATAAGTCAAACAGGACTCCTCCTTTAAAAAAATTGAATTACTAACCTCTCTGTCAATTAGTTCATTGATCAGATTAAAAAATATTGGCTTCCATGGAACACGGTTTAATAATCTTATGAAGCTGCAAGTATGTTAGTTTAAGAACTGCAGTGACATCCGGACAGCATGATAACATGTAACCTGTAACGACTCACAATAATATTGTCCCGCTTTAGGAGACTGTATGGAGGAGGTCTAACAGGCTATTTACACACACCCAAACTTTTAGTAAGAGAAACATCAAATGCTACCAAATGCAACCTGGCACTGGTAGGCAAAGCTGAGGATTTCTGTTTTGAGTACTGTGCAAAATGGCACCAATAAACTTTTCAGGACATCTTGCTCACTGCTTAGCAAATAAGGTTCTTGTAACAGAGCGTGAATTCTAATATTAACAAAAGCCTCAAACCAGTAAGTGTGCTGCTCCATTCTAGCTGTGCACTGTCTGTACATGTGGTGATACTTAACACATCAGCCTGTCTGAATTTATCTGTGCATTCACAAATTAATGCTTTACTTTAACTCATCATTCCAAAATTTTAGCACAAGACAACCCTTACTAGTAAAAGCTTGATGCAATTTATATCATGACTTTTAAAAAATAAAGTTACTGTTTCGGATCTTTGGGTAGGGTATAGATGCAACAGGCATCCTTTAAAGCAGGATTAAGAGCTAAACATTTAACCACATACCTTCCAGAATTATCACTATGCTAATTTCATTAAATTACTGCAAAACTTTCTAGAAAGAGCATCTAACATGCATTTGAAAAGCATACAGACTAGATTTCAACCGACTAAATACAGATATCTACTCAACACAAACAGTGAATCTTCTTGGGAGATACTTGTCTTATTCCAACAAGGATAGAAAAATTATTG